TCTTAATTTGACCACGCATTGTAAAATATCACGAACTGCAAATTTAATAATTTTACTGAACTGTGAACTTGCTACATTACCAATTTTTGTACAAGTGCTTATTTTAAGTCTCTATCTAGTTTATTTAGTGTTGACGATAAACGTCAATAAAATATTATTGATGAATGCACAATATTTAAAATCGTCAATTAATTAATATTCATAATGTAAAATGTAGAAAAAAACCTTGCGAACGACAACTTCACTTGTCAGACATTGTTGTATCCATTATTATAGATTTTTATAGTATGAAGTAGAATAGTCTAAGCTTATGGCAGTAGTAATTAGCTTTAATAATAGTGTAGCTTTAATGTAGCTATATTATTCTCTAATAGGTTTTCAATAAATTGAAAGTTATTTATTTAGCTTTCAGCCAGAGATCGGGGTTGAAAACCATAACAACATAGTATATACATTTCAACTATTTTAACATTACAATTGTCTACACTAAAATGTTTCAGACAAATTTTTAATTGTTCTTGCATCAGTTTAAAATTAACAAATAGACACAATTATTACACGTTATTTAACTTTAAAGTTCAAAATTTGTCTATATTGATTTAAACAAAAAATAATAACATTTTCTGATGATTTAATTTTTTTATTGTGTTGAAAAAAAATTAAATGTTCAAAATATTTACACACATTTAAGGTATTTATACCACATTATAGATTCGCATGTAATATCATATTATTTAATATTTTATACAACATTTTCAATTTAAGTTAAATAAATCGCTGCGTTTAAAATAACTATTACAGTATATAACTATCGTTATAGAAATAATGAGGAATCCTATAGGTTTAAACATAATTCTGAAAACATAAAAATCGAATAGAGTTATTTTGAAATTTTGAATTATTATGTATTTTATCTTTTTTACTAGAAATTTCAACTTAGAAAATTCTTTTCTTTGGTATTTGATGAATTAATCTTTCATATTGTTTCATTATATAAGTTAGTACTTAAAAAAAGTCTATCAGATATTAATTGTACGTCTGATTAACTTGATTATAATATTATTTATATTTATATCCTATGTGAGTTTAAAACTTTTCAATATTTATTTTTATTTTTCCACGTTCGTTTTGTTAAGAAACAAGATCGTTCCATTAAGGATGGCAGCTGTTTCCTATTGGACATTCGAAATAATACTCAGTTTTCATTCTTAACGAGAGATAATAATAGTAACCATCAGATTCAATATTGCCGTCCTTAGCTATATAAGTGTGCAATTTCTGAAAGGTACAGTTGACAAATTCCGGTGTGGCTATCCCGCAGTTGTCTAATGTTGTTGTTTTCGAGGATTTTTTATGACTACATGGAAATAGGTACCTCTAAAATAACATTAATAAATATAGTTTACACTTTTGACAAGAATCGCGTGTTCAATAAATTGCTACCCCGTGGAGAGTGGCGATATTGATAAGTAGGATAATGCCCAGTGGGGGCACCTTTTCTTGACTCAATCCTCTAATCAATTTGTTTTTGTTTTTATTTTTATTGACACGGCCTTGTTAACAAAGTATTTTGTACTGTTTCAATGTTCACCTCGTTTATAATATAAAAATTGACTTTAAAAACAAACGTATCTAGTTCAAGAGTCGACATTAATGCGTATGATTTATAACAGTTTTACTTTAATCTTGTGAAACAATGTGACCTATTACACATTTATTTAACTCAAAATCAATTAATGTAAATACGGTTCACAATAAAGTACGAACAATGGCAATTAAAATTATGTCAATACGTGAATATAAACTATCTAATAATTGTGTATTTTAATATTGATGTTAAGCTTATATAAAAAAATCCAGTCTGGTCTTAAATAACTAGTATTTGTAAAGGCTAAGAAACTTTGCTCATTAAATGTTTAAAATTATACTTTCTGTGAGAAAAGTTTTCTTTTTGCTAAAATATTTTATATACCCTGCATATTAACTATCTAATTACTATTGGCTATTTATTACAGCAATATTACAAATTACAATAAATAATTAGTAGCTTATTGTAATAAAACGTGAGAGTTATTTAAATTAAATTAATTACTAAAGACTAGACTAATTACAAAATAACAAAAAAATCAGAGAAGATTATAATTCATTTAATATTATAGCAGTTTAAAAGTGTCTGCACAAAAATAAGAATGTTGTTTAGTTAATAATTAAAAAAAAAATTATCTTACACACACATTTTAACTAACGAAATCAATGATCTCACATGGTATTCAATAAATATTTAAATATATTGATATAATATATAGGTATAATAGAAATATATGAATTCTAATTTAATGATTACTGGATCTGTGATTTAAATTGCATATCGATGAACTTTATTCTGAATTCAAAATAAACGAGATAGGTACATATTGGATTCAAGACATAACCATTTTAAATACGTGATTTTATTTTTTGCATATACATATTTTTTCTTATGATTATTGCATATATCTAGTGCACTAGTGAAATAGTCATTGAGTGTATTTCGTCATTGAGTAAGTCATAGTAATAATGTGTGTGTTAAATTTGAATTCAATGATAAATCATTCCTTACCAAAAACGATTCTGAGTGAAGACTGTCTGTCAGCCTATATTAATAAGCTGTTATAATTTATGTTATAGGTACTTGTATATAAGTTTATAACAATTGCTAGAATAGTAATTTATTTTAATATTAATAATTTGGTAGGTTGAATTAATTGTTGTCAAAAACATTGCATTTATTAAATTATTATAAAAGTTTATATTTTAGGTTTCTAATCATATGTTTAGAACATCTTATATCCCCACCGTGTCCGACTGTCTTTCAGTTAGTTACAAGTAAACCTATAGTTACGATTGTTGATATTGAGGTCTTTATTTATTGTCCGTAGTTACTGTACATAAATTGTATGTATGAAACTATAAATTAGTCAAATATATTAAAACAGGTTTATAAACTGGAAATTTAGCACGTTCTTAGTGAGCTTTCCTAACTTGATTATTATACTAAAATATTGTTATTAACATTAAAATCATTACCACAGACTTACTGTAGACCAATATGGATATGTTTGAGGTACAAATAGGCAATGAGATAAAATTTGTCTAAATGTTTTGAAAATATTTTTGTGCAAAAATATATGTGAACGTGTCAAATTCCAACGAAAAATGTTTTTGAATTAGGTACTTACTTCAAAATAACTAAACTCCTTATTCTTGGTTTAAATATCGAATTCCGTTCAAATTTGAACAGATAACTTACATTACTGTGACTTACTCGATGACTCAACACCTGTGTACAGCAGAGTGGTTACATACTTTTCGTCCTTTTTTTTTGTGCATTAAATTGTTAAAAAGTTAAAATAAGCTTTATTCGAAATTGTATCTATACGATAATGTAACTACTTTATGAAAAGAGTATTTTCATTTTCAATAGATAGTTTCCTAACTTAACGATTAGAAAAACTGGAACAACTGTGGAAAATGTCTATTTATTTTTTAGTAAGATTAAACAATTTGACCAATAATAATTGCTTTATATCGTTTTATTTATTTATTATATAAATGTGAAAAAAATTTAGGACATGTTTACCATTTTTAATTTCAGTACAGAATTTTGAATGGTTTTTTAAATTTTTATTGTTACGAGATTTAAAATTATTATTACTTAGAAGTAATCATTTACTAAAAGATTATCATGTAGATACTATGTTATAAATGTTTGATAAGTCAAAACTTGGAATATAATCAATATTTTCATAAATGTTACGGGTTTTTTTTTTAAATGATTCAATATTTTCAAACATTAAATAATGAATTATGTATTGGAGATTTATTTTTAACATGTAGATACATGAAAGTAATTAATATCTTGTACTGTGATCAGTACTAAAGTACTCAAATATACTCTATAAAAAGTAAAACTTAACCATACTTAATTGGTTTTTTTTTATTCAAATTCATAATACAGTTTAGCCTTGTGCCTAACATTTACAAATAAATATTATGAGAATCTTGTTCAACTGTTAGCTATTTTTTTTTGATTTTATACAATTGACTTTGTAGCATAAAAATATTAAGCTAATAGCCATATGTGGTATGATTAAAGTCTAAAACTACTTTTGGATACTTTATTCATATAAAAAAATGAGTTTTTTAATGTAGGTGTAATATCATGTTATATTTTTTTTTGTGTATTTGACTTTTGTATTAATTTAAATATAAAATTAACCTTTTATTGATTTATAATGGATGTTTAATTCAAATGTGAATATAAGAAATTTATTTTAAAACATTTTTAAAATTTCTTTTTATTATTAAACTTTTAACATAAAAACTCTCAGTGATCAACTTTTATTTAAATTTTCCCTCTTATGTTGTTATAACATTCATACATCTACCGTTATCTTTGAACTCATATCCCAAACATATTTACATACTTTAATATTTACAACTTTACAAGATATTTTGATTGCGTTACCACTTGCGTTGAACATTGGAGATTAATTATAGTCAATCTAAAAACGAAAATCGTATAGATATCATTATGATGATATTAATTATGAAGTTTTTCTAAAAACAAGAAGGTAGTTTTATCAGTATAATTAAAAACGATAACTCATAACTTATATTTATAAATAAAATAAACTTATACATTTTTTGGCATGTAGTATGTGACAGCTAAAGTTTAAGCTGCAGTTTATAGTATATTGACTATTTAGTTGCAGTTAACCTTAATTATACCGAGTTCATAACGTGTTTGGAACATTTTAGGATGTGTTTATAAGGATGTTTCTATTATACTCGTAGCCGTAGGTTGAATGAAAATACTGGATTTCAAAATAGATAGAAAATTGTATTACCTATACTAACTAACTCGCACTTTTTTTTCACAATTACCCTCATTAAATGATTAATTATTAATTATTGTGTTTTTAAAAACTGGTTGCACTATGGTGGTTTTTGTTGCGCAGGTACTGGACGGACCACAAGTCGGCGCAGATGGTCGATCAGAAGGTACAGCACGCGCTCTTCATGTTCGCTTGCACCAATTCGTGTATGAACCCGATCGTATACGGAGCGTTCAATATACGTACCAGGAGGACGCTGGTGACCCAGGTGAGACCCAGTGCCAGTTTGGCGTCCACCGCATGCACCACTGAAATACGGCTGCCTGCGCTTTCCATATCGGTTCGCCGGGTTGAATGACAGTAATAATAAGTAATAACCAATAACAACATTCCCCCTAGTGGTCCGATCAATCTTCAGTAATCGTTCGCATACTACACTGTAGCGCACAAAAACGCTAATTAAAATATATATCGAACCCGCAAACACACACACACACACACACACACACCCCTTGCAGCTTTCCGCGTCTTGACGTCCTTACTTGTATACGAGTTTTCGCATGCGTCGTTGTTAGAAATCAAAATTAATGTAACATTTTCCTTTTGCCATTTACGCATTCGCAAAATGATCCGAGGTGCCATAATATGTTATAAGTAAAAGTCTTAAAAACCAATAATCTCAAATATCACGTATAGTTAAGCCATAGGAAATCCCATAAATACGCACTACAACAACAGACCGTACAATAGGATTGAATTCCTGTATTTTTTTATTTTTTATAAGATTCGTAGTAAACAATAATAATATACTCCCATTCCTCCTATACGTATAAAGTCAATATTTTATTATAGACACTCAATTTTAAGTTTTCTACTTGCACTTCTGTCTAGGGTACATACCGCAGCTTAATACCTAATAATACATTTGAAATTCGTTTTTAACGGTAGCTGTTTTGGGAGGCATCAAGAAACATTGAAAATTTACAAATTCTTTTCTTTGATCAAACTTAATGAGGAGGGATTATCTCTTGAGAAAATATAATTATAAATTCATACAGTACAATTTATTATTATTGGACTTTTTTACTGTCTGCTTTAACTTTCTTTCTGTAGAAGAATACGAATGGTGTGGTATCAAACCTCTCTCTCTCTGGTATCTGTCCATTTTTTATAGCTCTACTGTATAAACATCATCATTTATTAATAATATTGGCAGTAGGACATTTTTTTAGTTATTGTGTCAATATAAATAAATTTATAAGTCAACATATTGTAAGTATTTGTTCAATCTCTTTTAATTTAATGGAATTTACATTTATTTTATTTATGATTTATTTTCTTTTGAATGAAATCAAAGACATTGATAATGATATTTTAATTCTAAAAATACGGTTTTTTAATCTTCCTTAACAGTTATGTTAGCACGTTTACGTAAGAACTAAAATAGTTAATATTTAAATAGTAATTGGCACCCTCACCGCTATACTTTTAAGAAATAACTTATTAAATATGATACCTATTCAAGCTATGTTTTCCTTATTGAAAATAATATTTAACTAATTAATCACATTGACTACACATAACTTTTTCTTTTTTAACAGTTTAGCATTTTATAATTAACATAGTATACGTTGTTTCGTTCTTTTAACTAATAAAACCATTTAGAAATACTATACATACTTGAACTAACGATTGATTAATATTTAAATTACACTAATATAATGCCTTGTCTTATATTTATTCATAATTTCAAATGCCAACGTATTTATCTATTTAACAACTCATTTGTTTATTTATTGAATTATTATTTTTTTAAATTATACTTTAAACATTGAGAAAGTAATCGTTGGTTCAAGATTTTTAAACCATATACAATAATAATATTTTGCTGTTATATATATTATACTAGGCCACGATTTCTAAAACTTCTACTGAAACCAGATTGTTGGACTTTTGAAGCCCGCCAGATGGACGGTGATGATATATATATATATATATATATATATATATATATACATATATATTATACATACATTTAAACGTTACATTTTAATTTTAACGATATTTTAATAAAATATCTAGTTGTAAAACTATTTCGATCATAATTATAATTAATATTAACTAATTTAAACGGAACACATGTAATACCAACAACATGCGCTAAAATTGATGATATTAATTTTGTTATACTTATGCCAGTAGTGCAGTAGGTACCTACATAATATTATGTACTAGTAAGTGAACTATTCACATGTACAACCTTATAATATATAATATCAAACTCAATATTTGTGAACTTTTTCAATAGTAGTTACCTACACACATATCAAATATAATAATAACATAATATATAGTTATAATATGTACAGTTATTTATATTTTAAACCGATACTAGTCATATAGGTAAATGATAAATGTGTATAATGTGTTTGATATATTCTACACATATAAAATTTATCAACCGCAGTTGAAAATATATTTAAAAAAAAAAAAATAAATAGTTTTTCTATATTTTTATTTTGTACAATTACACTAATATAATATGCAAAGTTAGGATGGTTTAACTGTTGTAACCACTTTTTAATACCTACCACTCTCAATATTTATGATTTATTATTGAATTCATTAAATTATTATCAGGAATAATGGCCGAACGCCTAAGGGCATATTGAAATTTAGCGGTCATGCTTCAAGCAATGGCTTTAGAGTAAAGATAGCGATAAAATGAAATTTCGATGTTCAGAACACGCAGGTGGAATTGCTTTAGAGATAATCGGACAACTAGAAAATACAATAACACACTTTTTTATTGATAGCACATTATATAGATTTGTTTCATACCTTCTTTTTGAGCTTATTTTAAAGTACATGATAGATAATATAACAGTCTCATACCAAACCGTTACGTTTTTAGTTGTAGTACCTAGTCTTGTTTTAAATGTGTGATAATAATGTTTTTTTTTTTTAAATCTGTCAGCACAATGGTGTTTGGCGATATCCTAACGATTCATTCTTTCTATATTTAGGAGATAGCATATTTTATCCCAACTTTTTTCATCTCGTTTCCCATTATCACCGTCAAGTTCCGTGGGCAGTCGTCCCAATAACATGTGAATAATTCTTATTAGAGTATTTTTATTGCTATATTGACCAGATGACAAGTAGTTCAGAAATAAATACTGTTGTAGCTTAGTGCTTGCTTCTAAAATCAAATTGAATTTATTTAATTTGATTGCATTGGCTTGATAGATTAATGCAGTTTATTTTTTTATTATTACATTTTAAATAAAGCACTGCATGTTTTTTAGCCTTAACTGTACAGACTATGTTAATAATATAAGTAAATTTTTCAATATACGGTATATAATTTTTTATTAAAAAATATTATTTATTTATAATATATGTTTATTAATTCAATATAATGAACATAGTATCTATTATATATATATTGAACATAATTTGTGTTTATATAAGAGTTAAGTTATAAGTTTTATAATTATTAGTGTTTCTATTGTTAATACACAATACAGATAAACTTATTACCAATTTTTAGAATATGATTAATATTTATTATATTTGCAATTATTAAATGGCTTATTTTAATTAAATCAATGTCATTTAAATATGAACTATTTATTATTTATCCTAAATGCTTAAAACCGAAATAATTCTAATCAGTGTTGTCTTAGTGTCTGAAAGTTTTAAGATTTTCTAAAAGCCAGAAATTGGTTCTTAGAATAACAAAAGGTTCTTGATCTGTGTTTAACAATTTGATTTAACAAAATAACTTAATATTAACTTAAATGTTAAACTTTAAAACAAAACTATTTTAGTGGTTTTAGTGGTTTAAATTTTTAAAGTATAGGATTAAATAATAACCTGACTTATTATATGATTAAATACCTACTTAATGTTATATATTAGAAGAAAAATTTTAAATAGTTATATATTATATTGGTACAAAAAACAGTAGACGTAAACAAAAACATCAACTGCATTTTATTGTAATGTAACATAATATAACTTTCAAAAAGTTTGTTTGCTCTGTAGTTTATAAAACAAGTAGGCACCTTCTTTACGTTTTATCGTTTTAGCACTAGGTGCTGAAAATAAAAATATTTATATTTCATATTTTAATTTATGTTTGAAACGACAATGATGATTGAAGTTTAAAATGTACGTAGTTGGTACACAAAAAATTATATTTTAGTAAAGTTTTATATTGAATGGAATATTATGTTATTTTTGACATAATATACATGATTCATCAACACTTCTCAGTGTGAATTCAATTTATTTAACCAAAAGTTTTCTCAAATTAGTTTTCTTTAAGCTTAAACAACTTAAAATCGATAACTAAAAATAAGTGAAAAAATTCTTCTTTTTAAAAAAATATCTTGATGATTTTAATTTCAGTGTTATACTTCATGTTTTACCGTGACAATCTTGTCATCTTATTAATTTCATAAACATCCGTTTTCTTAGATCATAAATTTAAATTTGTATTAACCTGAAAAACGGTTTATTTGACATCATAAGGCATATAAGTTATCTAAACATCAAATTTATAATAAAAATGGAATAGAATATACTATAACAATAATTTGCGGGTTTTTTTAAAAAAAGAGAAAGAGAGTTGAAGACTAAAGATGCCGTGCTGTGATAACAAAACTTTGACTAGGTTTTAATTTACACAACAAAAAACCAGAGAAATCGGCTTTGCTGTATAGAGTATACTATATAGTAGATTTTTAGCCTAATATAGTATTTTTAGGACACTGTAAGAACAATTTATTAGGAATACCTATTATGATACTAGTATATATAGGTAGCTGACAGTTGTATTAGTTATTTGTTGTTATTTTTCGTATTTCACAACTTTTTAATACACCACATTGACTCATATCCCTTACTCATCTACAACATTATTTCTTCTAATTTATGTCCAGAAACTATGATTCACTGAAAGATAAATGGTATGAAACTGGATTGCTACGGAAATGAAATAATGTGCCGTACTAAGATAGTTACCTACTATACTGAATTAATGAAGAAAGTAAAACTAATACATAATAATATATATTATGTCTTTAGATATATCCTAAAAATCATTAAAAAACTCAAACTCACATGTTATTTCATTTTAATGACATTAAATCTTTTGTTTAACACAAAGTCAGACTCAGTGTCAAATTTCGGGGATTTTTAATAGCAGTATGCCAGTATAACACCCATCTCAAAGCGTATCGTAAGGGTATCGTTATCAATTTTAATAATCATGGGCGATCGATAGCTGCTACACGACCTTACTTAATCTCCTACCCCTCTTTAACGGAGTGCGTTATAATAATGTTAACCTAACTATATTAACTATAATTAACTATATAAGCCAGGGCTTCTACAAATAGAAAGAATAAATAAATATAGATGATATTTAAAATCAAAAATCACTGAACATAATTATTATGTATCAACATTTTATATATTACTATTAATTTAAAAGTGAAAATATTTGTGTGCTTAATTTCTTTTGACACTCGACAGTTGCCGTTTTATTATTATTTATTATTCAGTCCAATAATGCACCGCCGCTTAGGCTTACATGAAGTCGAGATATTATACGGGGTAATTGCAAGCAATAGCGTCAGCGTTCATAGAAAAAAAAAAATTAGACCAAAATTGTTATGTCAATTGTAGGTCATAGATAAAAAAAAAACGTTTATGGACGGGTCATCGACCGATCTTATCGCGAAAGTATTAACTGCGATTATTGTGTTGGGGTACGATTTCATTTTATCTATTCGAATAAACAGTAATGCCGTATAAATAAAATAATATAACTCGGCGGTTTGCTATACAATTTCACTCGTAACCCGTACGTAATAATCAAAATAACGAATTTTGAATATCGATTTACCGATTTACGAACTAAATCTGTTCTCAACGGTAGAGGTATTCAGGTATAGGTTCTATATTATAACATTACAATAATTTTAAAACCCTAATAAAAATGTTAATACAACAGAATACATAATATTATTATGAGCATATCCCGCAAAGAGCCAACTTCTAACTATTCTTCAACATATAGTGTAGTATGTGATAGAATGCATCGTATATAGGTATATACTGTACAATAACCCGAGACCACATTCTTCTAGTTCGGTCATGTTGTGTTCCCTAAAAAATGTCATAGATACACCTGCAAAAGACTAATACTATTTTTATAGTTTATTTACATATCCCTTCAATATTATCATAGAATGTGTAGGTCATAATATATTAATATATGATTATATTTTATTTTGTAGTTTTTGTATCGCCGCCGTCGCGGACCGCTAACCTTATCATTGATTTTATTTAATAATAATATATTACTAGTCATTTACTAGGTAATGTTCGGGTTATCGTGAATTCGTCTGTATTGAACATCATCTAACTATACTATTTATCTTCTTCTTATTATTATTATTATTATTTATAGCTTGTTGGACGTTAATTCTGAGTAACTCTGGCGAATTCGATCACCGATTGCTAATATGTAATAAATAATAATAATGACCATTCCCTCCCCCTATCCAACCAAATATTCCAATTAGAACTCCTCTTAAATTTAACCAATGTAACAAAATTGGGAATAACAATAAATGTTGATTTCGATTTGCGTAGTAATGATATAGTTTTATATTGGTAGGGATTGTTGTAGTGTTATGCATATCGAAAAGACTACCAAAAGTCACAACTTGTACCTTATACACATAATGTATACTGTATATTACGTATGGTACGTATCATGCAGTTTGATTTTAAATTCAATCCCACAATCATCATCTATGGTTTCGAATGTTTCAATCCGTAAATTGGTTTGCAGCCATCTTCCATTTTTTTCTATTACCCGATTTCCTTTTCGTTTTTACATATGAATCCTCGTTCCTTCATTATGTATTGAACATAATCTAATCTTGGTCTTCCTTTATGGTTCTTAACCTCCACGCTTCCTTCTATAATCTGTTTAGTATTTTTTAAACCTTCGCATTGGCCTTATATTATATAACCTATCCATTTGTTTCGTCTTCCAGCTATATTTTTTCATAAAACAGATAATATATGAATTAAATAATGTGATTAATTGGACCATATTCTATTAAAATGCAATTCATATGGATGTGGCCCTAACTAACTCAGGGCGGGCTAAAAGATTTAAATGTGAATTGTACTATTTTTAAGCAATACTAGCTATTACCTGATTACCATTCATGAATTTAATAGCAATGTTTTATTCAAAGACCTAACCTAACATAAAATATATACAACTAGAAAATAAATAATTATATATTATTATGTAAAGTTATTAGAATACTTTTATCTATAAATTATAATATCTTTATTTAAATGTTAAGCATTAATTGAGTGGACATGCATTCGTGTATAAGTGTTTGATACGTATTACGAAGAAATAAACATGTTTAAAGCAATTTTTTTTAGCATAAAATAATTTTAACTATTATTATTAAAATATTCTTAACATTTTCGACCAACATGATCCTTATGAGCATTAATCAAATTAAATTAAGTTATTCAACTACCCGCAAATGGATGTCGAGAAGAATTTCGCACATTGAATGTAGGTACGTAAATATTAAATAACAAATATTAATGTTCTTGGAAACTATTTTTTTAATCTAATTTAAATATCTGGTACACGCTTAGAAGAAAACTGTATTTATAAATACCTGAAAATGAACCCCAGTATCCGTAAGCGGTATAATTTTGTTTGTAGTTTGAACTATTAAAATTGAGACCATCATTATACTGGTAAGTGCGATATTTTTAATTTATATCTTCATTATACTGAGTGAAATCTGTAAATACCGGACACTCTCAGTCGCTGAAATTTGTTTGATACTCGGAGGTGTCAGTTGAGGGATTTTTTACTAATAATATAAATGAAGAAAAAACATTATAATCTAGTATATAATCTATAGAATGAGTAATGAGTAGTTATAAGATTTGTATATTTTATTCTTTTATATTCTCTTTATAAATAGGGGAACTAAAAGTCTATTCTGTGAGCAATGTAGTTTATATTCGGTATTCTAAATTAGCTTATTTTGGTAATTTCCTTAAAAATGATATATTTATTGAGTTTTGTTGTGTTGTGCAAATGCATATTAACTATGTAGTAAAATCATAAAATGTTTAATATAGTTTGATATTGATACCTAAAACAATAAATAAACACAAACAAATCTAGGTTCA